TAGAGTCCTGAGAGAGGCTCGTGCAACATCAGACAGTTTCAAATTAATCCTTGAAATAATACCTCTAACTTCTACCACAACTTGATTTGGTCCAGGGCTGCATGAACGCTGCTCAATGGAATGGTTTGATTTAATTTACATCTGATTTCTCTGGTGTACATCAACAGCTTATATATGACCATGAATTTAAGATGGTCCCGAAAGCAGTTTTGGGATAAAATAAACCATCAGCTTGCTGGCATAAGGAAATACTGGTTTTAGATAATCCCACTATTAGAATCGGTTCTCTCTTAATATAGCACTTTCAAAGCAAGAAGGTAAACATGAGAGCAAAATAAGTGGCAAGCCAGGCTCTAGAGAGACCTCAGTTTATCTGTAGGAAGGGCACAGTGGTACTTGGCGAGTTATTTTGGGATGCTCAGGAGTAAAGCAGATATGATGTATGACACACTATCCAGGACAGCTGTGCTCTCGCAGCTGGGATCAAGTCACCAGCCCAAGACATTTCCTGTCCTCTCCCAGCCACAAGGATAACTTCCCCATGACAAAGGAACCTGCTGTCCTAGCACCAGACCCTACAGCTCTAACAGTGATGCATTCTCCTAAGCCTGCTTGGCCTGCCTTGTTTGCAGGTGGCCTTTGAGACAGTATCAGAACAACCCAGCACGGCACGGCGGTGCCAGCAAAACTGACGGGGAGGTTTGTTTCAGCTAAGTCTAAAAATGCTAGGAACTGCAAGCCTGATTCCTTGAAGGTTCAGGATTTAATGAGCACACCCTGAGTGGTGATCTCCCTCCCGCTCAGTACAGCCTTCTAGTGTTTTATTCAGTTATTTCAAACCCTCCTCTGATGTTAAAGCCTTTGAGACAACTTCATTTATCTCCCTAATACTCTCAAAGTCTACTCTCTATTTTCAGATCTCAGTTCCTCTGACATATTCTTGCCTTTTCCTAGAAGGCACTTTAAAGACTGTTCCTAAAATTTGCCATCACTCAACCCTGCCTAAGCAATATTACATTTCTAATTATTCTACCCTGCATAATGTACTGAATTTGCTTCCTATTTCCTTTGTCCAGGGCTCTTCTGATTTCTGGGGTTTTTTTTAAAAAAAACCTCCCCTGCCTCCTTCCTCCATCTAGCCAAGATAAACTGAGATTTCCTCTGTTCTGTTCTTGTTCTATATTGAGATATTCTTGCCTGATTTTATGTTATACATCCATCCCAAGGCAGTGAAAAATCATCCTCTTCTGCTGTATTGTGGTACACAACACAATGCCAAAATGTCAGAGAGCATCCTACGCATCAGACACTGGAGCCTAGAGGATTTACTGGAAGAACTGGGATCACAGGGGGACATAGACCTTTATTTGCAGTGCGGCTTTTGGGTACTTCTATGGTCATTCCTATCAATGCACACATTGTCTGCAATTCGGTACATCCTAGCACAACCCTCACAGCCAGCTTGGCCCAGAGGCAAGTGAGGAAGGGGGCAAGAGGAAGGAAATTTGGGTTGCACAAGTAGCCTGAAAGGAGAAGGACAAGCACAGCATGAGGTAGATAACACACTGGGGATAGGGAAATCTGGAGTGCAGGGGTGGCTCACAGGAGACTGGTCCACAGAATGGCTGTGGGAAGTGGGACGGGAGATGTCCTGCAGCAGTGCAGGGGGCTGAGCAGCAGTGCAGGCAGCAGCCATGCTTTTGAGAGAGGACTTGGTTTTCAGAATCAGCAGCTGGAGCTGCATCTTCTGACACCTTTGTGGCTTCCACAGGGCACCCATGGACCTTGCAAAATGCTTCCTTTCTGCTTCCCAACTGCCTCCTTCTGCCCTGCTCCAAGAGACAAGGCATGCTGCTCCTGCCAGCCAGTAACTACTCACCAGCCAGCTCCAGTTCCTGGGGACCAGATGAAAAATCCTGTTCCTGGAGTCACAGCTGTGCCATATGCTGCTGAGCCAATGCTGTTCTGTGCCTCAGAGATGGACACACTTCACACAGTGACAGTAATACTCTTTCAGATGAAAATACGGTTTACAAGAGGAAGTAAGTTAATTTATAATTAACTCGAGATGCCTGAGCCCAAGACAAGGAACACTTTTTAACTGGCAGCCAGATGGCTTTGTGGGCTCTGTTCCTTAAACCACATATCAGCTTTTCATCTCAGAGACTGCCAGTCAAACAGCAGGCCCTGGAAATTATCCTACCACCTCTCCAGGAGGGTATTTTTGTAGAGGTCTTGTTGGATTTCCAAACTTTATGTAAGTAGCTTAATTTACTACAGCCAGACTTTCTTTACTAAGGGAATGTAGGACAGAGACTTGTTTTGCATGGAAGACACCTCTTCAGGGTTGCAGATTTAAGATTTCCTTCCCTTCCTTACCTAAAAGAAAATGAAAAACTAATTACTACTTAAATAGAAATAAAAAGCTTTTCTTTGAGCCCCCTTGTGTCTGTTACAGACACAACTCTCCAGGTCTTTGCTCTTTGGTGTGTATGAATTTGTAACAAAGTTCTCTCACAGCTGTGCAATTTCCTCGACCTACTGGTGCTAGAAGTGAAACTGCTAAAGATTTCCTCTTCTGTACACAAAATGAATATTCTTCCTAGAGGAAAATCATAGCAATGATCATCTTCTGCTCTGCACCTCTACACAGATGCATGTGAAAATACTGACTTCAGATATGAAGCATTTGATGCCCCATGCAGTGTTGATTCCAGAAGGTCTGATTTTAAGGCCCATGGGAATCTTCTCTCTCCAACTTTTGCACGGCAGAAGCCAGAAACTTCTCCCCATGATTCCTGCACTTGAGGCCAAAGCACCTGCATCAAAGGAGTTGCCCAATTATTCTGATGGTTACAATGCCTTTATCATTACAGATTATTTTATCATCAAATTGTCATGGGATGCTACTCTGCACTGGTCTGCTACACAGAAGAGTCATCAAGTTCTGTATTTCGATCATCATCTTACTCAATTTTTCTCTCCATGCTTTTTCAAACAAAATGGATACTATAAGGGGTTTGGGTTTTTCTGGTTTTTTTTTTATATAAACACTTTATTGCTGCAGTCAATAACCCTGTGTATCACACACAAATAACCAATTACAGTTTAAGAAACTAAAAATAATTCTGCAAGTGGTAATACTGAGAAAACGAACATACATGAAAGGATACAAAACTATACATTAAGTTACTAGAAATTTAATAACTAAAAAATTCTGCAGAAGTATGAAGTGTCTTGTATAAACGTTATACAACACATGCCAGTGTAAAGTTCTTCAACATTATACAATTACCTATCTACAAATGTTTTACCTAAATACAAGATTAGCTGCAATTTTTAAACAGTTATCTTCTATACAAAGACAAGTGCTTTCAGTACTTCATTGGAATATACAGACACCGCAATATCTCAAAACTAAAAAATAATCACAAAATAAAAGGTCCCACTTAAAATTTTTCTTAGTGTATCTAATACAACACTAAGGAAATCCAGCCAGCAATATCCTTGCTTTTGTATTTACCCTTTTTGACCCATGTCTGAGAGGGACCCAACCCAGAGTCGCTGACCTCTCCATTTTCATTGCTGGCCAGTCTCCAGAGCAGACCACACCAGAAATCTGTATCTTAACATACGTCAGCTTTAGGAGAAATTTGGACCTGGTTCCTACTTTGCAATAGATACATATTCTGCCACACACAGGGCAGAAGCAACCAGCTCCCGTGCATGGTGGCATCCATGCATCACTTCCAAGGTTTCCCACGAGTGGCAGGCCAAGCAGCCCCTTTTCTTACAGCACCAAGTGGGCCTCGTGCTCTGATCAGTACTCACAGAGGCATGGCTTGAACAGAGTTATAACTGCTTGCCAGGAACTCCCAGGTACAGCACAGAAGCCCAGTACTTCTCTAACCCTTCACAGGCTCATTCAATCTTCACTGAATGCCTCCTTGCTGAAGCAAAGCCAATCTCAGTGACACTCAACCAGAGGCAGCTGTCCCAGGGTCTGGCCATCTCTTCGGAGCACATTTGAAACACCACTCTCACTCCCAAAACAGAGGCTTACAGTTGAAAAAAGTCCTGAGAATCCACAGGAATTTAGTATCTCATCAGCCCTTACACAGGATGAACCTCCTGCAGCACACACCTATATTTCTAACATCATGCATGTTCATGACCTGGCAGATTCATCAAATGTGACACAGAAGGGGAATTTTCTTGGCCCAGATGGTGTCTTTTTGGACAGGAGTGCTGTCAGTAGAATGGGGTCAGTTACCTGGGGCACTGAACATATCAGAAAAGGCTCTGGCAACCTAGGGAGGGGACTGTAGTAGATGGCATTAAGCCTGTGCTCCCTCCTACTTAAACTCTGGTCTCAGGATAGTCTCATGGTAACCCAAGCTAACTTTGGCCAAGGTACAAGGACCAGGCTTCTATTTCAGTCATTTCAAAAGCTGCCAGAAGGAAGTACTGGAAAGCCGGATCTAACAGGGGGTGATTGTTCCCCTTACTGACATCTGAATGGAAAGGACAGAGCTCACCTGAGCAGGCATCAGTGTCTCACAGCTGGAAGCTGAAAAAAGTCAACAGTATCTTCTTGAGGAGAAAGAAGAAAAAAGCACCATTCAGCCTTCTCAAACATTTGATGGCACCACGCAGAAGCAGAGAACTGCAACTCCACAAGCCCACCATCAACACCAAGCAAGAATCAGCATTAGAAGTGTCACCAGCATAAATGAAACCCTCTGAGAGATGGATCTCTTCTGCAGCCTTTCCTGGTATGAGCATTCCTAAGCAGTATAAAGAGTTTAAATAATTGGCCTTAATTTTCATTCCAAAAAGAACTACTGGGATGGGGAATTGTTAGCAGCAACATTGGCTAAAACATTTTCATTCACAAGTATTTTTCCCCAAGTGATTTTGCTGGAGATGATTTTTCTTTACAAGTAAAGATACTCAGGGGCACAGCAAAAACCTTCAGTACCCTGAATACTCCACAATACCTGGCACATTCCACATGCAGCTTCCAAAATACTGAATGAGATTTTGCAAGGTTTCACCCAGAATCATGTACAACAGTGACTGAAGCAGAACCATCAAGTTGTGGTGTGCTGTATCGGCCATATCAGAACACTGCTCACGCCAGAGCCGCTCAGGTGAGCTGGAGAACAGCCAGGTTTTGCACCAGGACTTGTCCATCTTCACTGTATTGGCCATGTCAGAACACTGCTCATGCCAGAGCTGCTCAGGTGAGCTGGAGAACAGCCAGGTTTCACACCAGGACTCGTCCATCTTCACCCGCCGGCCGCAGGCGGGAAGAGCACGCGCACAGCATCGCTCGGCAGCTGGCCCTGTGCATCTCGCAGCTGTAACGTGAGCATCTCACAGACAGGCAGGCCTGTGCACCTGCCCATTTCAGAAGGACATCATGAAGGTGTGCAAGACCTGATATTTAACCCACCTGAGTTTATCTAGTGAATCTTTCACAGAACAATACAGAAAACAAAACGAGACAGTGTATTATCTGGGTTCTCGAAACAGAAGAGAATCATCCACAGCAGAGTTCAGAAAAGGTCTTGAGTAATTGCACTTTGAATTATGGCAGGCACAGGCAACAAACTGCATGTGTATGGTCACAAAGAATGCCCCAATACTAGCAGGGTATGCAGGGTTTGTCTGCCTGTATCACTTAAGCACAGGACATCCTGACAGCTAGTACAGTACACAAATCCATGCCAGTGCAGCTTTACCAGGACTGCCCAGAGGTCTGGATGTTTTAACACATCTCAAGAACAAGGTACCACGTTGTTCGTGAAGATCACAGACAGTTAGCTTCAAGCATGAAGTGACAGAGGCACACGTGCTTTTCCTCTAACAGCTTCTAGAAACCACTGGGATGAGTGTTCTCTTACCAGAGTCCCTTCTCTGCCTTCTATTAAAATATTGATTTAGAAATAAATTAATATTACATTTTATGGAAAAAAATCCCTGATCTCTTACTGTTATATTAAGAAGTCTTAAAGCAGCTGCTTTTACTATGAAAAGAATGTACCCAAAGTTGTACTTCAAAAATACTAAGTGAAACTTGAACTAGAGCTAAGAATTTAGTTCACTATCTCAACAAGTAAACAGAAACTTTTACCTGAGAAATCCAGGCAACTCCTACTAAGACCATCCATATTATCATCATTGACTTGACAGAGATTTAGACAGGCTCAGGTAGGGAAAGTCAGCTTTCAAATGCAGAGGCCTCATGTGCTGACTTTTCATAGGGCTTCATTTCTGCTCTAGTCACACTGAGACTTTGGTTAAATGAGGGCTTAAAGCTGGACAGTGGTGCAGTGAAACAGACTGGACAAACAAATCAACTGCAGACACCCTAGGCTTTGGGCAACTAAAAGCCTTGCAAACAGATTTTAAAGCTGTCCCTCTCTTTGCATGAATGCTGACTGATTAAAAAGCCAGTCCCAAATTCAAAAGCACAGATATATACTATTCTCTGACCACGCAGTGCACCACATCAAGCAGGTATTTTTAAATTTATCCACTTAATGTGATATTTACTTCCTAGACTTGTATGTCAGCATCTCCTCTGACAACATCAAATTCTTGGGTATTTCACACACGACACAGCACTAAAGAAAGAAAACCAGTTTCAGCTGTATTAACTAAGTTTCCTTTTTTCTGTAACAGCTCACATTTTTATCAATATAGCAACAAACCCTTTGCTAATGGTTTGGAATGAAAGCTACATCAGGTATATATGCACAGGTGTGTTGATGGTCTGACCTGTTGGGAAAAAAAATCAAAACCAATCCCCAAAACAGAACACTGAAACTACTGAAAACAAACATTGTACACATCCACTACTCCTCATACACAAGTCACAAATGCAATATCCTTTGAAGAAAATTGCTCCTCAAAGGAAACCCAAAGAGACAGAATTTTTTAGTGTTACGTTTAGTAAGATAATGTGGGCGTGTGTGGGAAATCACAGGCTGAAATTTAAAATTTTTTTTTATAAGGCAAGAGGTTTATGTTTCAGAAGAATAGATGGGGTAAAGAATTAAGAAATGTTTCAAAAATGACACATTCTTTCAAGTTTCATTCTCATTTGACTACATATCACAAAATAAAGATTTTTAAAAGTGCTATATGCTTTGTAAGTCTCATTGCAATATGTAAAGCAAAATTTTACACCTGCTGCTTGAGACACAATGTTAGTGGCAGTGTTAGTGGTAGATTAGACTCCCTCTCATTTCTCTCACTGTCTGGGACAACCTCCTTCATCACACATAAAGAACAGACCAACCAACCAACCCCACACTACACATCCTCCAGAATGACTTAAGAATCATGTTCTAAAGTAACAGACTCCATGAAGTTGGTGACAGCTCGCTAGCGGCTTCCTTAATACCAAACCCAAGGCTCATTCTACCCAATATCCTGTGGCTCTTTGATCAGCCAGTATGAGACACAAAATGTTGAGAGGTAAGCAACCACAATGACATTGACAGATATGCCTAAGGGATTTTAAAAAATTCCAACAAAGAAAACAAATGTAAAAAATTCATCCGCCAGCCCTCAGCTGTTTGCTGATGTTAAAAAGGTAGAGCAGTTTGCAGTAAACAATGATATTCAAATCTTCAAGGACATGTGGAAATATCCCTTCCACCTAGCAATCAGACGTGAAGGATTTCTGCAGCACAGTCTTCTGGCTCTGTGTAATGTGAAGAGTTTGTGTCTGAATGGTGAACCCCAAACATTTCTTTACTTTCCAAGTTTGGCTCCATTAGTGCAGGTTTTTCAAAAATATTCTTTTTGCTAGTTTCTGGACAGTTTTGTACATATATTACTCGGTTATAAGCTTTAAGTCTCTTCCACAGCTGTACGTACACCTTGCATTGTACATACATGAACAGAAGTCCTCCAGTGAAACCAATAGCCACAACTACCAGCTTAGTCCAAAATGGCCACTCTAGAATACCTGGAAGTAAAAAGAAAGAAAGAAAATAAAATAAAAAGAAGAATTAAATTAATCTCAGAAACTGCCAGTCAAACAGCAAGCCCTGGAAATTATCCCACCACCTCTCCAGGTGGGTATTTTTATATAGAGGTCTTGTTGGGTTTCCAAACTTTATGTAAGTAGCTTAATTTATAAGGCCAAACTTTCTTAAGCTAGACTAAACTGGATCTTTTAAAAATGTACTGTAAGGAAACTGCCACAGACTTTGGGTCATGTCAGCTGTTCTTATTTTGCAATTTTTCCTGTCTGGCTTTTCTTTTCCTCTTCAAGTCAAACACACAGACTTCTGCTTCACGTATCATATTCTTCCCCACCAGAGAAAAAAAACCAAAACAACTGATTTTCTGTGTCTGAGCCTTGATGCAGTACAGTCACAGAATCAAGGCAACCACAAGTAATACGCTTAGGTCCTTTTACACCTGTTTTTAAACAAAGACTGGATCAAATTATGAAAGGGATTCCAAGGCATGGTTTCCTCTCCATGGCAGAGACTCAACTCAGTGACCCAACAAGTCTGTTCCACTCTGTGATCACACAGCACATGGAGACATAAAGGAACGATTGTTACCATATAGTTTGACATGTTTGTTATACAGATGAGGAAAATTTTATCTTCATCACACTCAGTAACTTGTATCTGAACAAGAGCATCTCCTCTGATACAAAACTGCAAGTGCTGGAGATGCTGAAGCATTCCAAGCTTGCCCTCTGTCCTTAAAAACTACCACCATCACTTTTTGCCTAAATTTGTCTAGCTTGAACATTTAGACAGTGGATCTTGTTACATTTCTATCAACCACTTTTAAATTAAAAAACTATTCTATTTATACATATTCTGCTTACATAGGTCCTGTATTCCTCCAGCCTCTTTAAAATAAATGCCATCACAAGATGGATATGAAACTATGCTGAATCAACCATTATCAGGTTTTTCAGAGAATAAAATCGTATCTTTCCAACTCTTCAAGGTTTTAACCAAGACACAGGCCTGGTATGGCAGTGAGGGAGGAACTAAAATATTTTAGTCCCAAAATACAAAGGGCATTGCAGCCCTACTGCTGATGAAATCCCACCTGTGATTCATATCTGACCCTCTGACTCAAAAGTGAGCTGTCTGATGCTGTCTGTAGGCACTGACAGCACATGCTTGCCCCTGTGTGGACATGAATATATATCCACACACACTTCCTGCATACCCCAGCTCATTACAGCACTCCCTAGATTTAGAATCCAAATGAAAGGAGGAAAGAAAGCACTATAGTACGTACCAAATATTCACATCATTCCTCCTAGTTATGTTCATCTAATATATTTCCAGGAAAAAATAACCTGGAGATGATAAAGCTTTGAAAACATATCCTTTTCATTATCATATGGAAACCTTACACTTTCGAAAGGCCAATAATGTTCATTGTTCATGGAAGAAATGGGGTTGGATGGAACAGAAACTAAGAGATTTCACTGAAAGCAGCTTCCTGACTGAAGTCGTGAACAATGCAGCTATAGCCTAAATGAGAAATGAGAGGGTAACTTTTTAATTTCAAATGATTCTGCTCTGAAGAGAATGTAACAGCTCTGTGGATTTACAGGTTTATCAATGCTCAACCATCTCCCCAAAGGACACTGTTCAATCACCAGCAAAACATTTTCCACCTGCATGTCCACTTGGCACGCAGTGCTCTGCAAGCAAGGACAGCTTGCCTTCTAACAGCTTCTATCCGTTCTACCCCATCTTCCGGCTCAGCTGCCTGAGGAACAGTTTTGTGACAGCTGCAAATCCACAGCCTAGCATACCTGTGTAGACGCATTTCAGCTTGGTACTTTTACTGCTGACATACTGAAGAAAACCTTCTATTCAAGAAGTTAAGGTACCACTGCTGGGGTGGCAGCCCTTGGTAAGACTGCAAGCATCTTATCTCAGTTGTGCAAATTGGAGTCCTAATATTCAACTTGAATTTCTTCTGCTTCAAGTGCAATCACTCATAAAGCTTTTCCCAGCCTAACATGGCTCTCACTGATGACTAACCCACCCCACAGATGACTGGATGGAAAGAAAACCCTGTTGATTTACTTCAAAGATTTGAATTTAGGTTCCTCTTACTTCTTCTCTTTTTAAAAACAGTTCCAGTTATGCCCACTTTAAAGGTAGTCATAGCAGCAAACAAATGCTTATATCCTTATCTACAAATTTAGACCTAAATTTGCTGAGGCAGTGCAACTTTGTGTCTGGCTACAGTTGATTAGCTCTCATATCCATGCATTTCACAACTGCAAACTAAATTGACCTGAAATAGATTTAAAAAGTACCCACAGATTAATTCACTGGCTAATTTACTGATTTAACTAAATAATTTTAGAACTGTGTTTTTAAACCAACCCAACACCAGGGTAAAGCTGACTAGTTTAACACTTATGTTCCACATCCTCTCTGCAATCAGGGTAAAGAATTATTCCAAGAGAATAATTGGGAAGATAAGCAAGTAACATACCAGTAGTTTGTCCTTGTTTAATCTCCTCAGCAGTCCTGTCTATCAGGACATAGAGAGACCACACAACACAGGTGATGGCAATGATATGGAATGTTACAGAGCACATGATCTTCCTCCTCTCACTGGCTGTCATCTGCAGCTTCTCCCACTGGCAAGAAACCAGGAACCAGAGCAAGAGATTAGGAGTTTATTGTAGTTACTAGACAGTATGAAAAGATAACATTGATAAGAACAAAACCCAGGCAGGAGACCAGCTTCCTTCTAACAAGGGTTCCAGAAGTCAAATGGCATCATTGCTTTGGTCACAGCATGTGTATGCTTGAAATCATTCATTATGTTGAATTATTGCTTCCACTGCCACAAAAATGAGAATGGTTGAAACATGACACAGAGACTTTGTGATCATCTCTGCGCTGCCAACAGACACATACTCTGTGTCAGCCCAAGCCACATTTCTAGTTATGTGGGCGTCCAAACCTCAACATGGCAAAATAATTGAGTACTTCCAGGAATGACATGCTAGGCTTCTTGTACTAAAAAGCTGTATTTTTCAATCATTTTAGAAAAAAGATTGGACAAAACATTCCCTTTGCATGTTGTATTTTAAACAGAAAATTGCTTTTGCTTCTATAAAAAGGTGTTGCATTTTGATAGAAAGTACAAATTAATCAAATTATTTTGCTAAAAAGCAACCATGTTAAATCTATTTGCAAATGCTTTTACAGAGCCAGGAGGACCTGTGCTTTGACTAATTTACAGTTCTCTTTTCTGTTCCACAGCTTGGGCTCTGCTGGACAATATCTCCTGTGAACTGCTGGCTCCACAGTCACAAAACCAGCTTGCACCACCTCACTGCTTCAAGAGAGATGACTGAAAAGCAAAACAGAAAATATTCTAAAAATTGCACACTAGCCCAGAGAGGAAACTCAAATCTGTAGGTCCCTGCTGTATTATTCTGATGACACAGCATGTGAC